CGTACTCACGGATGGCGTACTCACACAGATAAACATGCACACAGGTGGCATACTCATAGATAGGCGTATTCACACACAGATAGGCATACTCATACAGACAGACATACTCACACACAGATAGATATACTCACACAGATAGGCATACTCATACAGACAGACATACTCACACACAGATGGCGTACTCACACACAGATGGCATACTCACACACAGATGGCGTACTCACACACAGATGGCGTACTTACAGATGGCGTACTCACAGATAGGCGTACTCACACACAGATGGCCTACTCACAGATAGGCGTACTCACACACATATGGCGTACTCACAGATAGGCGTACTCACACACATATGGCGTACTCACAGATAGGCGTACTCACACACATATGGCGTACTCATAGATAGGCGTACTCACACACATATGGCGTACTCACAGATAGGCATACTCACACACAGATGGCGTACCCACAGATAGGCATACTCACACACAGATGGCGTACTCACAGATGGCGTACTCACAGATAGGCGTACTCACACACAGATGGCGTACTCACAGATAGGCATACACACACACAGATGGCGTACTCACACACAGATGGCGTACTCACAGATAGGCATACTCACACACAGATGGCGTACTCACACACAGATGGCGTACTCACAGATAGGCGTACTCACAGATAGGCGTACTCACACACAGATGGCGTACTCACAGATAGGCGTACCCACAGATAGGCGTACTCACACACAAATGGCGTACTCACAGATAGGCGTACTTACACAGATAGGCGTACACACAGATGTGCGTACTCACAGATAGGCGTACTCACACACTGATGGCGTACTCACAGATAGGCGTACTTACACAGATAGGCCTACTCACACACTGATGGCGTACTCACAGATAGGCGTACTTACACAGATAGGCGTACTCACACACAGATGGCATACTCACAGATAAGCGTACTCACAGATAGGCGTACTCACAGATGGCGTACTCACACACAGATGGCGTACTCACAGATTCACAGATAGGCGTACTCACAGATAGGCGTACTCACCGTTGACTGCGAGATAGGCGTTTTGCCCGGCATGTTTCTTCAGCGCTTCTGTAGCCACTTCCAGCACGGGGAACGGAGCCTGGCCGAAGCCGAAGTGGTAGATGGTCTCCCCCTGGGGGTCATGAGTGGGCCGTAAGGTCAAAGGTCATGCATGGGTGAAAGGTTAAATAACGTAGAAGATCATAAAACAAATTGCCACTTTAACTAACTGATTACAGTTTGGACGTTGGGCTCAGAATGACATACAGAGTACATATTATTCCTTGGTATCTAAACAGAGTACTATTATTCCTTAGTATCTAGACTCTTAGTATACTAATCACTTTCATCAGAGCGACTTAGTTGGAGAGTATCACTTCTGAAGCCAAGCAAAACAGAGCACTTCTGAAGCCAAACAAATCTGAGAACTGCTGAACAAGATGACACATAAATATTGTGCCATGCTGCGTCCTATTTTTTTTAGCTGGGTTTCTCTTACTTACAAGATGAAGCAGTTTGTGAGGAGAATTTGCTTGTAGTGTTCCTGGGAAAGGTTTATATTATAGTGATGTCTGTGGTGAAATGACTGAGCTCTTCTGATGAAGCCAGAAAGTCGCCCC